CACTGCCACCCTTTCTGCTATTTAATACCTTAAATTTGGTCATGTTTCCTATTTCAGTTTGTTTCTGTCAAGAAAATCAAAAGATTCATAGTGCTAGTTGGCAAAGTAGTCCTCTTTTCATTGTCAAAACACTGTAGGTCTCTTTGTAAAAAACCCAAAACTGGAAGAATCTGATTTTTTAAACAATTTATCAGAAATAATTTTTAATAAACAGGTGTTTTTGCCTCTAGTTTTGATGTTAGTCATAACTTTCTCTGTGCTTTAGACTTTGAAAATACAAAATAAAAAAAGCTTTAACAGAGAAACTGTCACCTTGAAACTACTAATGAAATGTGCCTAAATGTTTAATTATAAATATTTGAGGCCACATTTGATATTTCTGCTTTCTGAGCAAAGTACTTTGAAACTCCTTGTCTGTGCTGAGAAAGATGATATCAAAGGTGCTATGATTATTTACATCAAACTCCAAGCCTGTGTTGTTCGCCTTGTGCCTTGTGAATTCAGCAACATATTACTGTTACACCTTGCTAACAATAATTATTAGTAGTTTACTTTACTGCTGGTCACAGCAAAATTAATGGAGTTAGTTCCACAGTGGGACAGTAATAAAGTGCAAGAAAACTTAGGCTTTGTTGGCTGGGATACAACCTTTCATCTTCTGTTTTGTGTTGGGTCTTTTATTTTCTAATTATGTATTTGTCAGCATGATTCCTCAAAGATTTCCTCCATATGGACTCACACCACTGGATCTAATGGAACAATTTATGTTTTGCATTGATTTGAGAGATAAAAACTGAAAATGAAAAAAACGTTATTGCTTATAATTTGCTAGAATTTTATCTCATGTCAATTTCATAAAAGGCTCCTTTGCAAAGTTGGTTGAGCAACTGAATACCTAGATATCTTTCTCATACTGAGAAACTTTAATTATATGCCTTTGATTTTCATGTGCACTAGTGAAACTTCATTTACAATGTTGTTTGCAAATTCTTGAAAAGTCACATGTTGATGTTTATGACTGCTGCTGCTAAAGGTCAGATTACTGTCAGGCTACTGTTTCTTGTATGATTTGCTCACTGCTTAAAAAAGGCTACGTTGGGGTATTTTTGGAGATATTTTCTAAGCTTTTCTGATCATAAACTTATTGAAGATAGATGAGAAATATGATGGCTGTGTTATGATGAAAATAGGTTTCCTGAGGGCATGAAATGGTCATGCATATGTAGCCAGGACTTCGAGAAAAACTTGAAAAAGAAAAAACAGTTGTTCAGGACATTATTCCAATTTACTGACACTCATCTTTAATGGATGATCTTTAATGGATAGATCTTTGATTCCAGCTCTCTTAGTAAGGATGAAGATACGCGAAGTATGTTTTATCATATGATGGATAAGTTAAAGCTAACTCAGAGCGAGCTATTACTCAAAGCAGGAAAATATAATATATGAATCAGGAAAATAATAACATTCTTTGCATAACCACATACTTTCAGTCCTCTTCATTTTTTTCCAAGACTTTATCCTACATATTAGCTAAATTAAAAGAAAATTATTTTTTCCATTCTTTCCTTGCTTTCATTCCTTCATTACTGCTCTTCCGGGTCTTTTATTTCTCATCTTTTTCATCTTTTCCTTCATCATAAGGATCCCAATGTCTTCTTTTTTTTTTTTTTTTTTTTTTGACTGCTTGTCTCTGTCCCTTCCTTTGGAATAGTGTCTCTGACACCTATTTCCCACCTATGTAATTAGAAGTAGTCAGCATTAATGCTGCCATGGTAGACAGTTAAGTTTCAAAGATTAGCAATAACTTATTGAGATAATTGATATTGCATATGCATTCTTTATCAACAGATTTCATTTATTTTGAAAAACAAATTGAAATTTTAATAACTACAGCTGACTGCTCTTAAAAGGAAAAGAATTTTCAGAATCTGGGTATATTTTTATAGGAACAAAATAAGCTAAATAGGAAGGTGGATCATTGGTGATGAAGTGACTCTTTACATTGTAATTTGACTTCTAAAATTAATTACACAGTGATCTGGGCAGGCTGGATTGGTGAGAAAAGGCCAATGGTGTGATGTTCAATAAGACCTGGTGCTGTGTCTGGCATTTGGGTCACAACAACCCCAAGCAGCACCACAGGTTGGGGGCAGATTAGCTGGAAAGCTGCCCAGTAGGTAAAGGACCTGGTAGCAGTGGCTGGACATGAGCCAGCTGTGCCCAGACAGCCAAAAAATGCAGTGGCATCCTGGCCTGTACCAACAATAGTGTGGGCAGCAGGACTAGGGCCGTGATTGTCCTCCTGTACTTGGCGCTTGAAGCCACACCTCCAATCCTGTGTTCAGTTTTGGGTCCTTTGTGACAGGAAGGACACTGAGATACTGGAGCGTGTCCAGAGATGGGCAATGGAGGTGGTGAAGGATATGAAGCATAAGTCTCCTGAGGAAAGGGCGGGGGTAGCTGAGGGTATTTAGCCTGGAGAAAAGGAGTTTCAGTCTTATCTCCTTTCCAGGTAGCAAGCAATAGGATAAGGGGAAATGGCCTTGAGTTTTGCCAGGGAAGGTTTAGATTAGGTATTAGGAAAAATTAATCACACAAAATGTTGAGAAGCATTGGAACCAGCTGTCCAGGGACACGGTTGAGTCACTATCTCTGGTGGTTCTTAAAAGACATCTGGATGAGACTCTTAGGGATTGCGTTTAGTGGTGGACTGGGCAGTGCTGGATTAAAAGTTGGACTAGATGATTTTATAGATACTTTCTAAATTAAACAATTTGATAATTTTATAACTTTTGTCGTTAGATTTGCTGATCACAGATGTTGAAAATCACAAGTAGATGCCACCATTATTTCAAAGTAAAATAAAATAACAGCTTTCCTTTCTTGAAATAACTTTATTCTTTGAATAGATTTTGCCAAACTTGAGTTGAAACACTTTTATGAAGTATGACCTAGTTCAAAAACATTTTTATTTGTAAGGTAATGATTTATCAAAAAAGAATACATGTCTGTAGCAGAACTTCTTTTACTTTAGGGCACATGCCTATTTCTTCCTCAGACACCCCTGAGGACTCTGCATTGTTATGACTCAATAATATAAGAATAAAATCAGTGAATGTATCTCTGAATGTTATACACAAGATGGGAAGCCAACTATACATTTAAAAACCCTACTCCTGTAATTACTTTAATACATAATACTTTAATACTTTAATGCTTAATAAAATAACATTATTTTATGTAATGTTATTTTTCTTCTTGTGTTCTTAAAAAAAAATAAATTACAGCAGAGGATCTCAAAGCAACCAGAAGAATGTGGTGCTCTCTATTTCACTAATAGAGGCAAGAATTTTATATCAAAGAAAACATCTATTATGTTTAGGTGCATATGGTTTGGATTCATGGTCTCTTAGTTCTTCACATTACCCAACTTCATAGAAATTCCCATTTCTCCCTGTAAATTAATTAGATAATCTTCTTCTGGTCAGCTCATTATAACTGCCCTAGCTTTACAGAAGCTCTGCTCTCAGTTCTAGCTGGCAGGGAAGATTACCTCCTCCAAAAAAGCAATGCCAATTCACTTGTAGGGAAAAGAAGGCAAATCTGTTCATTCTCCCTTTGGGCACTAAAATGCCATGTTACTCACAAGCCATTTGAACTTCTCAGCTAAGTAGAGCATAATTATGACACCTGGCTGTACAGAAAGATGAATAGAAGAAATAGTCATCATAAAAGCAGCAGAACATGGACTTTCTTCTTAGTAAAAGGTATTAATTGCAGCTCTCGTGAGTAATAACTGTCCATTTATAAGTACTGCACCTGTCTTAGTGAGGAAATAACATAGCCTCTGTTCCTCATTATAGTATATTATAGTATCTTATATAGTATCCATCTCTGAGATGGATAACATAAACAGATACTTTTTACTTTTCTGGAACAGGAATCAGAATCTCATATAAATAAATAATTTATAGCAGTTGCATTTGTCTAATTCACACTAGTGTGGTTGCTGTTGTCAAACAATAAAGTAGTCTTACTTAGTCATTTTGATAAAGCATCCTGTTCTCTCAAATTGAATGGCTTTCCAAATGCTGGTAACGGAAAAATCTACCAGATTTCCAGAGATAACACAGTCCCTATTCCTGGTTGTTAACAATCTCTGTGGATATGTCACCTGTAGTGGAATTCTTTAGAGTCAGTCTAATGAAACAGCAATGTTTTGACATGTTCCAAAACCCTCCCTCATATTTCACTGGTTTCTAAAACTTTAAATTTATGTTATACCTAAAAAAGTTCTTTGGCTTGAACAACCAAAGAAAAAATTGATGTGAGAACTTGGAAGAATGTGGGTTTGTTTTCATTATTTATTTCTAAAATCTATAAAAATGTCATAATTCTACCTGGGACATTTTGATAGTAATTGCTTAGTCAACCACTGATGAAACAACCTCTTTTTCAGATAGCGCTTATATATATATATATTTCTAAAAAGAATAGATACAAAGTTAGTTTAAATTATTTTGAATGCATGTGTATATTGGAGTTTGCTAGCCAAAGAACTTATAAATAATTTTTTTCTGTCCCTTCAAAGTTTTAAGCTCTGTCTTCTTATGATAGACTGGTCAAAATGCTGGACAAACATTATCTGTTTCATAAAGTAAAAATGCAATTTAAAGATTAACTCATTTCACAAAAGAGTTTTTAAACATGAACTGCTTCATGAGCCACAGATATAAATAAGAATATAGAAACGTTTTCCACAGAAATTGCAGAATTTAATGCAAATGTAAATTATTTGTAACCATAATGACATTCTTTAAATGCACGTCAGTGTTCTCATTAATGGCAAGGCTGTCTGGTTAGAGCAAGTGTAGTAGTAGAAAACAGAGGACCATTAACTGGCTTTTTAATCTTCCAGTCATATTTTTCTGGTACTAGGATCATGTCTATGAAAGAATTAAAATTTTACATTTCCTAATATCATGTTTTCTTTCTAGGTTTTTGGAGACCAAAATCAAGGAGCAGTTTTCCTACGTGAATTTACATTGATTCGGAGAGAAAGTCTTCATGATGATTTCCTATCTGATTTGCTGAATAACCACAAAACAGAAGACCCGGTAGGAATCTTCTATTATTCCAAAACATTTTAGAAGAAATTGTTGCAGGAATTGCTTCATTCTGCTTCATTGATCTATGGAAAGTAATGAAATTAGATTTTTTAGCATAAAAATGTTAGCCTAAAAATACTGTAAATTTCAATTAAAGTAAAGACTTGTTCATAGGATAGGTTCATGGCTGTCAATGTATATGAGTTTTCATTATTTAAAGACAAACTTTTTCACACAGATTGATCTTTTGCTTTCTAATGGTAGCTTTTATATTCAGAATTTTGGCAGTCTAAATTGTTACCATTGTTTGCTTTATACAAGCTTAGGGAGATTATTTTTTATTAAATATGAATGTGCAATGCTAATTGTATAGGTTATATAAAAATAACCATTTGAAAGGAATAATTTTATTAAATGTACCAAGAAATTTAATAAACAGGGAAAACAGTCTTATGAAAAATATTTTTTCACTCTCTTCTGCATATGTTTGGCAAAGTACTTATTTCTGCTCTGAAGGATTCCATGTTGTCTAGCAGCTGATATTTTTGAAGAAAAGAATGTAGAAGTAAGTAACTCGGGAGTCATGCCTAATCAGGCTTTAATATGCAGTGAAACAAATGAGCTGATTTTAAACTGCAGCAAATATTTTCTGCCAAGATGACTAAGGGACTAGATAGGCTATCTGTGTTACAAGGAAAGGGTGAGGGTGCTGAGTTTGTTCATACTTAAGAAGAGACAATGGAAGGGGCATGTCATTAATACATAGGAATATCTGAAGGGAGGGTGTCGGTGGATGGATCCAGGCTCTGCTTGGAGGTGCCAAGCAAGAGGCAATGGGCACAAACTGATGCACAGGGAGCTCCACCTGAACATGACAAGGATCTTTACTGCGCAGTGACTGACCGCAGAACAGATTGCCCAGGAGGTTGTAGAATTTACCTCCCTGGATATATTCAAGAGCCATCTGTAAACAGTCTTGTGCAGTGTGCTCTGGGATGACCCTGCTTGAGCAGGAAGGTTGGACCAGATAACTCACTTTGACTTTCAGTCAGCCATCTGTAAACAGTCTTGTGCAGTGTGCTCTGGGATGACCCTGCTTGAACAGGAAGGTTGGATCAGATAACTCACTTTGACTTTCAGTTTCATCTCTTCTGTAATTTTGTAAACTTTTAGGTCTGATATTTTCAAGGACTGATACATCATGGATGTCTTACAGATTATGGTTTAACAGAAGCAGTGGTGCATTAGCCTCTGATATAACCAGGAACTGGCAATGTATTTTAGGGATGAAATACTTTATAATATTAAGTGTTTGTTTACTCTGGAGGACAGAGTGAGTCAAGAAATTAATGTTGGCACAGCCACACTTAGCCCCTTTTTAATCGAGTTTTACCTTTCTTAGGTTATTTTTCTTTGTGCAAGAGGGAATGTTATCTAATTATCACTGGTGGAAGTATGTAGAGCTAGGACTTCAGAAGAATAGAGTGGATGTCTTTTGATAAGTCTTACTGCTTAAAGAAACTAGTTAACAAAAGTAGTGAAGGTATTAAACAATCTACTGTGTTTTTGCTAACCCACCTGCTCTTGAACTAATTGTCCTTTGTGCTCTACTATTGCTAAAAAAAAATTTCAGATCAGTCAAAATCAACACTTTATTCTACCATTTTGGGTAATTTTACAACAGATCAGGATTTTTCAAGCAACTGCATTGCTGCTGGAATGCCTGTAATTGTTCTTTATTAAAACCATTTATTTTCTGTGCTCCAGAGAAGAAAATGACACTTCATTACAATTCTGTCAGTACTGGTACCAGTACTTGTGACTTGTTATTTCTTGTTTTTCTGAGTTGTGCTGGTTGTATGCGTGTTTATAAGTATAAGCAGAAAGTACTCTGCAAAATATTCATAGATTTCACTTCAAGGCAGGGTTCTTTTTTCTTTAATTACCTTCCCAGTTCCTGTGATCTTCTTTCTGTGCAGTTTTGAGTGCTTGAGAACACCTCTACACTGCATAGTGCCCAGAAAATATGACTTTGCAATCTACATTTACATATGACTTAAAGAACTTTACCAACTTCATCTCTCTGTGATATCATCTTCTAATACTGAAGCACATAATGTTTTCTCTGCATGACTGATTTGGTTGGCAAAAGGTAGTGTGAAAGAACTTGAAATAACTTTTCAGTATTTTGCCTGAAATATTGTAAATGTATGCGACTAGTTCATTGTAAGCTATGTAGTCTGTTTCAAAGACAGGCACTAGTTTCAACCAGGGCTTTCCTTTAGCACTTATTCCAAATTTCTGCTAAATACTAGTGAATTGGTTTTCCAAAATCTCTGTAGCATATACAGGGTATTGTTCCTATTTTATGGATGTAGATTCAAAGGTTTATAGATGGACATTAAGGTCAAAAGTATCAACTTTTCTTGAGTATTTGAGACGCAAGGATCCATTTTTTTCAATTTACCTTACGTGACACAGCACTAAGGTGAGGGGGGAACTGTTGACCTCAAATGCAGCCGTGACTGCTCAGCGTCTTTGTCTGTCAAGCTAAAGATAACAGGTAAGGCTTCTACAAATCAAAGTAAGTGATTAATGTATCCAACAAAATGCTACAAGTGACTCAACTGGAGTGATACAGAAATTGTTATAGAAGCAGATAGAGAGTATAATTTTCCAGAAAAGAAAGCACAAACTGTATTTCAGGATCAGTCATTCCCAGTTCATAGGACAAATCCTTTCTTTACGGTAATTTCAAGTGAGATAATGGTGTACCTAATGAGAAAACCAATGTAAAACTGTTTTTCTAACAAATAAAACAGAAGCAACCTCTTTTATAATAGTTCCCCAATAAATCTCCCACTCTGGTTCCTTTCAGAAGTCCTGTTGAATTGTGGTATGATTGCGTGCTGGTGTTGAGACAGCAGAAAAGGAAGCCATTTTTAGAAAGATGGAGTTGTAAGCCTTGCCCACATTAGGAAGATGAAAAATTGTAACAAAACCAAGCCAATGTTTGCATAATGGTATAGAACACTGTTTGGTCTACCACAGTAATTAACAGAGTCAAATTTATGCATATCTCTTCCAGATAACTCTCTTCTACAACTGAAAATTTTCCTAGAATCTATCAGATTAAGTAGCTTTTCTATTTGCCTCACTGAAGGACTTGAAACTCTTTTTTTCATTATACTGTTTCTGCTCCATGGGAGCATAATTCAAAAAGCTAGTAGCTGTTTTTGCACTAGTACAATATGTGGATGCTCTCTATTTGTGGAAATCTCACTTCTGTGCATTTTAATAGAAGCCTTTTGAAACAGAGTGTAAATAGTTCAAGAAGAAAATTAGTTTAGAATAGTCATTACAATCAAAATATGTATAAGTCTAACATTTCAAAGCAAACATTCAATGTCTTCTAAAATGTTGCTTCATCAAAATGAGCAATTCCTCTTTTTTATATAATTGGCAAAATTTATATAATAGATTCAATGGAATGGAATTTGTTAATTAAAAACAAGTGAAGGGTAAGCATCAAGCAGATGAAAGTAATACAAAAGCTCTCTAGCAAGAAAGTCAGGATATTGACCTGAGATATTCCAGTCTTCCTCTTCTATCTGAAATAATGAATTTCACCTTGAATTTTTCTATAGAAGGTAAAACATAAGTAAGTGTAAAGACCTATAATCTTTTAACAACTGATGATGATAATATGAGTGGCTCATTTAAATGTTTTGTAAGAAAGTACTCCTTTTTGTTGGACTTAGACTACAACCTTGACTAAGAATACCTTTTTCTACAGCTGTGCAAATGTTTGTGATTTTCTGCATTATAGATATTAACTGATCATGCTGGTAAAAAATGTGATTTAATTGCTTTAGGTATTTGCAAATTTGTCATTCCTCATACTTTCATAATTCTGTGTTAGGGCTGGTATACCTTTAATGTTCTGTAAGTTTTTTTTTCTTTGTGAATACATAATATATGTATGTATATGTATATGTATGTATATTTACATTATGGAGATATTTCATGTGAATATACCTATCTAGATGCCATGTTTGCAACACAAGTCTCAGCAGTGTGAAGTAATGTAGACTCAGCAAATGCTCACTAATCAATTGTTTGAAACAGACTAGAGGAACAACTTACAGATTATTCTTTCAGCTTTGCTTTTTCAGTAGTTACAAAGAATCTTATGTACTGTGGCCTGAGATATCTTTAGGATCACAGGCTTTTTAAGAGTGCTTCTCTTGCTTTCAAGGCGTATGGAGCTTTCTTAGCTGCACTGAATACAGACAGAGTTTGCGATCAATGCTGCATCTTGCAGTTACAGAGACTCTGCCTGCTGTCCTCCACCCCTGGTTAGTGCCTTTCAGCATCACTATAAATGAAAGGACAGGACTCATTCACTAGAGCCCAGGCTGCCTCCTGAGATTGGTCGTTGGACGTCCAGCCTAGGGAGCTTCAGCTGTCTAAGGGAGTTAACAAACCGAAGGGATTACAGGATGTTAGAAATGCTTAAGCTTCTTCCCTTTTGGGTCACACTAAATTATGCAAGGGTATTATTCCTATAAAAAGTTTGCTATTGAAAAATCACTGTCTGGTTTAAAAGTTTAAATTTAGCTTTTGGACCTAAAAGCAAATCTGTATGCCTGTATTTCCTAGCTATTATGTGGGCCATAGTCTGATCTTATTAAGCTGCTTCTGGTCTAGGACACTGAGAAAAGGTTTTGGAAACTTCTGCCTCTGAACTGTGCAGTAATTGCAGTGTCAGCAAAATGCACTAATGATTATAGAGTTTACACCAATGATCAGAAGGCTTGGTGCTTGGATTGTAACATTTTCATTGCCCAGTGTCAGCAAATATGCTTCTCTTTCTCTGTGTCTCCTTTCCTTTTCTTTAAATTTGTTTGTTTTATTATTTAATTACTTAACTATTTATTTATTGAGTATATTACTGTGATTCTGTGATTCTCATCTCATGGTTGCCATAAAGCTTACAGTGATGATAT